AAAACGGAAGTTGTCACCAGTACGGTATTGACGCGAAACAGCTACTCATTTCCCGTCACTGATTCTGCATCAATGCCAAGTTCGAGATTTCTAAGGGTTCAGCAGTGTGATAGCAAACTCAACTCTCCTAAGTCGTGGAGAGCCTCTGTGTGTTTCCCACCAGCAAACTGCACCTCGGCGAGGAGTTTCAGGTACTGAACGTGGGCAGAGATTGTGGCTGGATCTAAAGTAAGCCTATTCTGTCCAGAAGGTTAAACACGAAATAAATATTATTTATATTGTTGCATTTCACGATATGCCTGGATGCCTATAGTAGAAAACTGTGGCCGCTGTTGTGTGTTACACAACTATAATCAAAGATGAATGCTTTGTTGATGACTCTGAATGGCGCCGAAATAACTGATTCGAAGTTCCCTGTCCCTTGACGGCCGACAATTGACAAGCGGGTTCACGGTCATGGTAGGGTCCGCTTTGATTAATGAAAGGCATGCAGTTCCGTACAATACTCAGATAAGTGTAAAACTTCAAAGCAAGCTCCTCGATAATTTGACTAGAAGAGTCAACTTTATAGCACTTTATGAATAGACTGGTCAAAACACAAATATTGTCAGGAAGACTCTAAAACTGCCTAATAGAAGTTTGAGCCTTCTGGAAATGGAGGAGAATCAGAGAGCGTAATCATCGCGTTTTTGAGAAATTTCCACGCTGGCTACTTTACGCTTCCTTTTTCCCCAATCGAGAACATTTTACTGGGTAAAAACCTAGTAAAATTTCAGCTAAAATAGACGAAGGATGAACTATGAGCAATAGATGAGCAGAACCTGGAGAAGTAGGTGAGTAGCGGAGTCTCGACTAGGAGGAAGGGATGTTTTAGCTTTTGTGAAGTTAGTATAATATTTCAGGCAAACTACCTGGACAAATAGTTCATTCTGTGTACTGCGCCAAATTCATTGCGTGCCATGTGCGCCAAGCATTTATGCTGCCTAGAGAAGGATTAGATAATAAGGTCGGAGGTCGAAGAAGGGAAAGCTGGGAAGACAGGCCCCTAAGGGTGCACACCGGCACGCAATTCACAGCGAAGAATGTGTCCATGCGGTCCAGCATGGCAGTCCCGCGCCGCACCATGTCCCACCTTCTCGGCGTCTGACTCTAGCCATTTAGCAAAGAGAGCGCTACCACTGGAGAGGGCAGCGCTGATGAGAGTCGCATTAGCGCGAGGGGGAATAACAGGCAGGAAGAGGATCCTTAGACGTTCTTGTTTGGTCGTTATGGTTTTTCTATCCTGCATGGTGGACACGTCTATGTCCTTTATTCTGAGTTGTTGTCTGGATCGTAGTTCCGCCTTGAAGGGTACCTCACGGTGTACTGTTTGTTCTTGAACAAATGAAGCTTGGAGGACAATGTGGAGCGGCAGTAAAGAAAAGGAGAGAGCTGTCAAACGTTAAAATTGAGGGTTCACTCTTTTTGATTCAATTTGGCTGTGGCAAGGTAATGAGAGACTGAACGCGGTGAAGAGATGATAGGTGACAGAGCACAAAGGACGAGAAGGCGTAGCGCCCCCGCATGTTGTGAATGAGGCAAAGTGGAGGCGGCCGAAGCGATCTTGGGAAGGACCTATATTTTTTGTTGCGTACTTTCGAGCCGAGAGAATTTGGTAGCTGTGATTTCAGTGAGCCAGCTCTACCCTGCTTACTAAAAGGATTGTTCCAGCTGAATTTATCCTGGGGTGTACCTTTAAGTGATTCCACCCGTAGCAAGTTATTCCGCTTCGAACTAAACGTCACGGGCGGTGCCTGCGCCTCGCAGGTCCCTATGATCTCTCGTTTCATTACTTCAGCTGCAACGCTCCGACGCCAGTAACTCAACATACGACTTCCGTTCCGGATCACAAAGCACCCTGCGTAGTTCAATGAAGCAATTTGTAGCCAACTGATGCCAGCCCGAGACCTTGTATAATCAAATAAATATGGTTAAACGAGAGCGACTGAGAAACTGGAAGGCTAAATCAGAGCAAAGTGCGTTTCTACTAGGCCACCAAGGAGTGATGCTTCCTGTTGCTACGCCATCTTGCATATTTTTGCTTTTTCCTTGATTATGAAACAATGAAGTGGTGCTTACCGGTAGGATTCGGCTCCTCGTCGAGCGGTTGCCTTAGAATTCGCATGCATTTTTCGGTGTTACCCAGTCGATGTAGGAGATCAGCGAGTTTCAGTCGCATTCGCTTATCTTTCGTCGAATTCATTACTGACTCGTAGAAATTCACAGCCTATGCAGTGTAGTGAAGACTTCAAGTAAAACGGGTGTAAATAAGTATAACAGCAACAACAATAACAACACTCTAATAGGCTGAAGACCATCAACTCGAGAAAGGGAATTAGTCACCTTTGAATAAAGGTGGCAAAGGACGTATGCCTCGCCAATTTTTTCTGTCAAAGCCATATCCTTGCTTGACATTTTCAATGCCATTTCGTACACCTCGATAGCGCGATCGGGCTGCAATTAGAGCATATAGACCTGAGAAAAGCTATTTTAGCTCATTAGTTCGATTGATGAGCCATGAACTCGGGTTGTGCTCATACTCGCGTCTGTGATGAGAGGAGATTACAGACGAGGACAATGATTGGCGTCCTGCTGCGTGGAAGAGATATGGTTTCAAGAAACGGTATTTTTGAGCTGATGGCAGGAGTGGACCTCCAAGTTATGCTAGTGCTGTTCATGATCATAACATCTCCGGTCACTACATCACGGAATTTTTAAGGAAACAAAAAACAAAAGGGGTTATGAGTTGGTGAACGCTGTTTACCACATACACGGTGCATAGGATCTTTTCTATGTTAGCCAACGGAGTCCCTGCCTACCCCCTCTAAGGAGAAGATCGCGTCAAGGAAATTGGCTGGGGTGTATGACCACTTCACCCTCCCCAACCATACCCTCCCTACATTCCGATGGCCGAGGGTGCCAACAGTGTTGTTGAAGGGTGTCCCCCAAGAGGCCCGTCGCGCGGCGAAGGAAGAGACGCAGACGCGGCAAAGGACGAGTACTGTAGCGGTTAGGCGTCAGGTTAAATAGAGTGTACCATACTACGTCTCATATCGCACAGCACGCGCTGCGACTCGTCCTTTGCCGCATCTGCGTCTCTTCCTTCGCCGCGCGACGGGCCTCTTGGGGACACCCTTGCTAAAACTAGATCAAGCTGGTAACTCAATTCCCGCTAAAATTCTTTCAAAATTGTCTAGTTGTGGTCGAGCGGGTCCCCAGGTGGCCAGGTGATACACGGCTGACGTAATAATAACTACAGAGGCAGCATTTTAATCGGTTTGCGACTACCCTCCGTTCGGAAACGATAAAACGAATCGAGTGCTTAGACACCCCACCACACAGTGACGACGGCAAGAGAAAATTGGCTTTTTTTCCTTTATTCTCGGCCGTCGTCCTTTTTTGGTGTGTGGTATGCACCGGACGCTTCTCTCTTCTTCCGAAATAGAGGAATTTCGTTATCATTTCTCCCACTGTCTTCATCGACAGCCCCTGTCCCAGAAATCCTGCATACGGCTCTTTCGGCCTACTGCGGGAACGAGGGCCCTCGACTCTGATTCACCCTGGTCTCTCTCTCTCCACCCCCACCTTCCCCCCGTTCTTGTCATTTCAGCGGCTACTGACAGGATGAATCCCTAACTCCATTCTTAGAACACGAAAACTGATTTGAGGATCACTCAAGGGATTGACTTCCTTCTAGATACGTTTCAAACACCACAGGTGTTTCGGACAGTGAAGTGAATACACGGCGCATTCAGTCGGAACTATAATAGCATCCGCATCTAATTTTTCAAGTAATAACTCTGAAAGAAAGCATACCTCTTGAACACTCATATAAGCGTCACCAAGCAAGGCGTAAGTAGCTGCTGTTGGAGCGCTCTTCAGCAATTCTCTAAAATTATTCGCATCTAATCCTGGTCGTTTCATAAGGATTGCACCAATAACTACTTGATTTAATAAAAGGCAAACTCCGTTTGAAAAAAATGACACGAAGATAGAAATTAACGTCAATCACTTGTAGCAAACCGTGAACATCATTTTGTCCCGTTTTTCTTCCAAATAGATTTCGGCCATCTTTATCCGAGCTGCATAATAGTTCGGCTGGCCTGGTTGGACCTTAATGTGAACATTGTCTCAAAAGTCCAGCACCAATCAATATCTTGATCGTTACCGTATTAAGTATCGCCAATGCTCCATCGACGTCGCCTTTTGATACGTGCAACTGTGCATTCATCAGTAGCAGTTGCTGTTCTTCGGGCTTACCTTTCCATTGCTCGAGTGCTTCCGTCATCACTCTTTCAGCTTCGTGCTGAAATCAATTATCGATCCAGAATGAAAGATCAATGCACGTCTTTTGAAGGTCCAAAGGGTTGCAAAGTTCAGTTACTGCAGACAAGGGTCTTTTACCAGAATCTGAGCGCTGAAAGTGGATGTGAATCCTTGAAAAAGAACCCACCGTTTGCTTCATCATCTGAAGGCAATCGATCAATTCTAACTGGATCGATATGCGTTGACCGTCACCACCTTCCCGTCTTGCCAGGAGGTTCGTTGATTTCTCCTTTTGTGGCAGTTTAGCCCAGCTTTAAGCAGATCGGCTGCCTTTTCAAGCTCATTCCTTTGCTGAAAAAATTGTTGAAGTATGGGTCTTCAGAAGAAAAAAATGATGAGTTATGATGTGGAACTGGTAAAATTTGTGACAAAAAACAATTTTCAAACTCAGCAGTTTGAACAGTCGATGAATGAAAAATAAAAGTGAGTATGAAATTGGCAACAGAGACGCCGTAACTGCTACAGGTCAACAGTGGACGCAGAGTTCCAATTTGTTTTACAGTTTAACCATATGAACACTAAAGATATCGTGCACAGAAGACATGTTTCGTACACAAGTGCTGTTTATGGTCATAGAAGAGCATGTGCAAAGCTACGAGCAAAATATGATTACCTGTAATGGAACAG